AGCTCCACGGTGCGGGCGCGGCGCAGGGACCTCGTCAGCCGGTTGAGCTGCTCCATGGCTCTCTCCATCCTCGGAGCGCCCAGCCCGGAGCCGCGGACACCGCCGCTACCGCCTGCCCTCAGCCCATCGCGGCACTGGCGGCGCCGAGGCCGCCCAGGCCGCCACCACCCTGGGAGGCTGCGCGCATGCGCGGGGCGGAGCTGGGGGCGGTGGCGGTCTCCCTCAGTTTGCTTTTTTCCCGAAGGAAGGAAAAGGGTAGTGGGGATAAATTTTCAAAGCTCGTAGAAAATGGGGTTTTAAACGTCTGCTTGTTACAAATAAAAATAAAAATTTTGATTTGCCTTTTGAAGCCGCCCCTGCCAGGTGGTCCTGCCCGTGCGGGCTCCTTTCCCCGGAGCCACGGAAGGGAATGGGGCTGCAAAAGCATCTGAGCGGGACAGAATCACAGAATCGATCAGGTTGGAAAAGACCTCTCAAATCATGGAGTCCAACCTATGACTGAACACCACGATGTCAACTAGACCATGGCACAAAGTGCCACACCCAGTCTTTTCTTAAACAGCTCCAGGGATGGCGATTCCCTCACCTCCTTGGGCAGCCCATTCCAATGCCTCATCACCCTTTTTGTGAAGAGCTCCTTCCTAATGTCCAGCCTAAACCTCCCCTGGTGCACCTTAACACTACGTCCTCTTGTCCTGTCGCTGGTTCCTTGGGAGAAGAGACCAGCCCCATTTGGCTACTATCTCCTTTCAGGTGGTTGTAGAGTGATAAAGTCACCCCCGAGCCTCCTTTTCTCCAGGCTAAACACCCCCAGCTCCCTCAGCCACTCCTCACAGGACTCGTGCTCCAGACCCTTCACCAGCCTCATTGCCCTTCTAGTGCCAGCACAAAAACTACAGACACTTGGAACTTTGCAAGGAAACAGCTACCAGCATGAGCCTATCAATTAATATCTTCCTCTGGCACGATAATACGTGTTGTCAAGCGTGCAGGAGCATTCAGTGTTGCTTTTGGGTTGTTGTTATTGGGTATTTTGGCTTTAATAATGCTTCAGGTGTTGATGCAATCTTGGCAAACCAGGGGAGTATGGGCTACATGTAAATGCTACATGCAAATACATGTAAAGCATGAATTAAAAAAATTATGTGAAAACAGAATGTAAAGAAAACATACCCCAACAAGATTTTATCTGCGATCAACTTCCAAATGCAAGGAAGTATATGGGACTCCATGGGGATCCATTGTGATCTGGTTCTTTGTAATGCTCTCATTGTTTCATTCTGTAAAATGCTCCAATGACTCTGACTTGGGAAAATGAAGAAAAGCTATCTAAGATTTGAAAAAGGTTGAGAAAGGACAACGAGGACAATCAAGAATCATAGAATTGTGGGATAGTTTAAGTTGGAATAGTCTCTTAAAGGTCATCCATGCCAACCTCTCTGCAATGAACAGGGACATCTTCAACTAGATCAGGTTTCTCAAAGCGCTGTCCAACCTGACCTTGCATGTTCACAGGTTTGGGGCATTCACCTCTCTGGGCAATCTGTTCCAGCATTTCACTACTCCCATTGTAAAAATCTTTTTTCTTACATCTAATCTAAATCAACCCTCTTTTAGTTTAAAACCATGACCCCTTGTTCTATTGCAAAAGGCCCTTTGAATTGGCTTCCATGTAAGTGAGAACTGACTTGGAGCTCTGCTATCTGTAAAAGAAACACTGTACAGGACAAAGTAGAAGGAAAAATAATGAATGTCATGAAGATACGATCGGGGGCGGGGGGG